TTCAGGAGAAAGTCCACAAACTTGCTCCCAGAGTCCGAATGAGGACATCCGTTCCTTCTTTCCTCAAAGTGCTACATGCTCTCTTTCACACCATTCTCAGACAGACACGTCACACTTGTCTCATCCCCTACAAATGACCAGCTCCCGTCGGCCTTCCAGCCTGATATAGCTGTGGTATGGGCCCGGGTCTGAAGGAATGGGAGTGTTTGTTTTCTTGCCATTTTGATCTTCATGTGATCCAGATCGTTTCACGCGCCCAACAACAAGCGCTTACACAACCAGGGGGAGTTACTGTTACGGAGATTTTGGCACACACTAATATTGCTAATGAGATCGCGGTGTGGCTGGGCTGTGTGTACGTGTGTGTGTGTGTGTGTGTAACAGCGACTTACGGAGGGTATAGAGTTGAACAGGTCATTTGAGATGTGCCCTCACTCAGCTGGGTGACTTGAAAATAGGGTGAGTCTGCAAATTTAATTTGAGCAGCACCAACAGGATTATTTGCGGAAAAGAGCCTTGCTCTGTCAGGCGAGGACAGGCAGTGGATGTTTGTTTACAAGTCATGAGGTGGTGACCGTTGGGAGGCGTTTTCACCGTGAATGTTGCATAATGTCTTAACCATCTTGGAATGCTAAGTGACAAATACTGTAAATCATTGTTCTTCCATTCTCCAGTAAACGTATTGTTGCAGCCTTTACCTCATTACCTATACAGCATCCAGGAAGCATCATTTCAATAATTAATCGCTCATAGTCAAAGCTAGAGATGTTCCGATACCATTTGTTCTTTCCTAATATCTGATTCCCAATACCTGAACTTTGCGTATAAGCTGATGCCGATTTCCAATTCAATACATGTGCTTTAAAAAAATAGATATGTAATTTTTTTTTTAAAAACTTACAAATTAACAAATATGACAAAGAAAATAATATACAAGATATCATTTTATTAAAAAAATAAATAAAATCATGATAAAAAAATTCTCATAAATACTGAGTTATGGTCACACTACATATCCTACGATTGTCTAAATCCAAAAGGAAGATTTCTCACAACATTTAGAGAGTGCACTGGCGTACAGCGTGTGAGTTACTCAGGTGAGTACCAGGAGATGGTGTTTGGTACTCACCCCATATGTAGCGTGGTCTTAATAAGTGCAGTCTTCCTCACTGTCCTCCTCAGTGTCGCCCCCACTGTCCTCTGCTTCAGCTTCCTGCATGGTAGATGATGAAGATGAAGATGCTGCAGATGCACCTCCCCTTTTGGGTCAAATGTCTCTGTGGTCTGCTTTGACAGGTGAATGTGACAGACCAGATCTGCACTTGGTTTTTCTGATGTTGAGATGGCTGTGTGTAAAGGCAGTGTAAGAGACAGCTTAACCACCTTGTTGATGTTGGAGTAAGCATCTGGGTTACTTGTATTTACTATTTGAAGAGGCTCCCAGGCGTTTTCCTGCCTGCTTTAAGCGCATCCATTCTGTCACAGTGGTGTCTTTGTCAAGTTGCAAGGTGGCCTCGTATTTCTTGAGAATGCTGCAAACTGTTGTGTTTCCAAAACTGTGGAGGTCTTGCATTTCCTGAGGCCATGTTGAAGGATCAAATACTAAGAAATGATCACATGACTTGAGGGAGTCATATCTGATTTCAAACTCTTCAATTAACCCCCTGAGTAAGTTTGTCTTGTCTCTGTCAGCATCAGCATTAGAAACAGTGTGAACTGTCCAATGGCCACCATGAGTTCATCCTTACATTCTCCAATGGTCAGCTTTTCCTTCTGAAACCGACGGGACATTTCTTCTCGGCTCGCTTGTTTATTAGCCACATTCGTGTGCTCCTTGCTCTTTTCCTGTTTTGTCTGCCAGATGTGGATGTGAGCGGCAAATCTTGCACCACATTTCAGTGTGCTCATTGTTAGCTTCGAGCCACTGCACATCTTGGAGCAACTTTTCCGGAAAAAGTCTTTTCTTCGGCTCCGGTTGGCGTTTCTTTGTAGGTGGCGAAACATGCGTACCAGTTATGTGCACCCCTGCACATTGTATTCATTTGCCATTACGTTTTGCGTAACGGTCTCTGCAGTGTGACATGCTAATAAAACTATGATTAGAAACACTGGCAGCATATATATTTTTGCCAGCTACTACATTTCAAGACAGCATTTAACAGGATGTAAGTGGTAAGTGAAATCAGCGAAAGCCGAGGCACAGAGGTATTAAAGCCGTCCCTGTCCGTCACTGAATTGGGAGAAGATTAGAAACTGCCGTAGAAAAGACAAGAGGCTCTTATTGGAAAAACAAGAGATAATAAGTAAAACATTTTTAAATTTCACATTGGGATGGAAATGAGTGAGTCACGATGACCTAGTTTAGCATTCAGAACAGTGGAAGAAGGCATTTGCAGCGTCGAGAAGAGCCATTAATAAGTGTGGATTTGCAGAGAACCACCACACCCACACCTCTATCCATCTCATCTGTAATTTATAAGACTTCTATATTCCACTGAGCTTTGTCAAGATGCAAATTAAAAACCATATTGAATATTTAGACCATATAAGATACAGCCACACTACAAGAGGAAACTCAGCAAAATCAAGCTCCAAAAAACACATTTTTTAATAAAAAAAGTTTATAAAATGTTACTTTCTGCAGGCAAAGCTGTGCTGCTGATGACTGCTCTGATATTCAATAAACATAGGAACTCACACAACCCACCTCCAAAAGCCTACCATCGTTCATCCTAAAGAACCTGGGATTCATGTATGAGATAGTATTGAGGCATGTTGGTGGCCCCCACCCATCCCTGTAATCTCTGACAGCAGGCAAAGCTCAGGTTCGCCAACAGCAGCAAGGTATGTCTGCGAGACTTCGGCAGCACACGCAGCGTGTTATTTAAAGTCCAGGAGAGTTAGTGAGGTCAAAACTTGGCCAAAAGCAAGCACCCCTCTGTGCTCTCCACAACATTTGAATAAGCCAGGATTGTTTTGGCCTCACCGCAGCCACAACCAATCGCAGACGCCTTGTCCTAACTCAAACAAATACTTGTGTAGATAGATCAGCACACATCCTGCAGGGGGAAGATTATCCTTCCATATATGGAGATCAATACACAATCAAGGCAGTAAAAGTTAAGAGTGCATGTAACACTGGTTTTTTTTGTATTTACATTACTAGAAACTCTGATCCAACATTGAACATGGAAACAACTGAACCACAGACATCTGAGAAATGTCTTTACAATAAGAGCATTCCTAAGATTGTAGAGAGAACGGCATTTTCTCTCTGGACAGCCTCTGTCAGGAGAGCGTCTGTGTTTAGTGACATCTGTCCAGGGTCCAGTGAGGGAGTCGGGGCTTTGACAGTCAGACTATCAGTCGAGGTAAATCCCTGAAAGCAGTGAGCACAGGGCGGGTGCAGACGCTCTCCTGGATCAAAAGCTTATCTGGAGAAAAACACTATGCAGGGGATATGTCCCACCTGTTCCACAGACGCATGATGACGGTGTCTGAAAGGTTAAGGTGGGCTCAAATGCTTATGAGTAGGGAATTGATTTTATTGATGCTGCTTATTGGTCCAATTCTTTATCAATTACCTTATTGATTCTTGATCAGTTTTCAGTGTAGAAATGAAGCCTACGCAGACTTTCAGCACTGATACAACAGATTTATTATCTCCCACTGCCTTTCTACACTGTGCTCAGATTCAGTCATCATCTGCAGTACAGACGCAGGAGTTTGACAGAATTGTTTTGCGATGCAGCCATGGTTCATGGGCTGCCAGCTCCACCGGGTGAGCTACCAGGGCATCCCGTTAATAAATGAATTGATAAGCATGGAGGGGTAGGATTCTGATGGACTGGAACATTTGGGACCATTTTTCAACTGGAACAACATTCCCATCCCTACACATGACCTCACGTTACTTTTTTTAGCAGTGTTGACAATTAATTTGATTTGTATTTCATAGTTATTTACTTTGCCCCATATCCATCCGCACCCAGATGTAATCACCAGAAAGGCAGAACTGTGGGACCGAGCCTGAAGGCACTTTGCTTCTAAATGAAATTGGAAACCAGATTCATCCTGGGATTTTCATCTCCCACTTATTGTTAGGTCTTGTTTGGCCATCTCTCGTTCCAGCCTTAGGCTGTAAGCTGTGTGAGTTCTCAGACTGAGGGAGGCATTAGGAGCTAGGATTGCAAAACTGTGAGAAAGAATATTTTATTCAGGAACAATTTCGACATTTTCTGATAGTAACGAAAGCACACATTAATCAAGAGTAAAGAATTTAAAGCAAAGTTCCTTTAAATACGATAGCATTAAATAGGAAAATTAGGCCACTTATTATTATTATTAATGATTGCATGACACATTCCCTGTTGTTGGTTTGGGACTTTTGAGGTCAAGTATTCACAAATCTACGAAAGCAATAAGCTAGAGACCTTCACTGTCATTTCATCAGTGGACCACAGAGTAGAGGACTACCCAGCCCTCTAACAGTCACTCAATACAGAGTGAGTCATAGAAAAAAGAAGTAAATGGGAGCCTGACAAATAACTTTTTTCATTTTAAACTTGGAATGCAAAGCAGCTGGAACAGACTCTTTCCAAACGGAGCTGGTTTGTATTTCTGGGTCAGAGAGTCTACGTGACACCACAGTGTGCATACAGTGTGTGAACGACTGTGTGCAAAGAACATACAGTTGTCAAGGCTCTGATCATTAATACTGTTCAAAGTTTGAATCAAAGGAGTGAACTGACTTTGCCTATAGCCAAGAACCACAAGAAATCCCTTCAGCATAAAAAAGGTGGAGCATTAATTCTACTAGTTGCTACATTATCATCCGTTAGGCTTTCCACCAATAGCCAAAAGCAACATCCACTGTAATGTCTGACCTGCCCCACCATCAGCTGGCTATGAAACACACGTTAACGAGACAGCGGAGTGCTTTTCACAAGCAGGAAGACAGGTGAGAGGTCTGGAAGACATCGACAATGGAAACCCCTTACATCACCACTGGCTCTGCTTCACCCTTTGTTTTACGGACCCCACAGGACGATGATGATGATGGCAGGAGTAGTCTATCCCACGCCCACTGTTCAGTTCAAAAGGAGACACCATTAAGTCACCGGGTCCAAGCGCTCGAGCCCATGAAGTGGGTTTGGGGTATGCTGAATGGCTGAACTCTGTGCGGCCTGTGAGAAGGAGAAACACTTGTAAATCACACGCTTTGGTGAAAGGACAACGTTTGACACATACAGCTTTTAGCTACAGGTAAGTCATTAAGGTCATCATCCGAGCTAATAGTCCTCATATGTATGCATAGCAAAGCTGCTGTGCCAGAGACGCTTACCGGAATAATGCCTTCGAACCTATTAATGAAAAACTGCAGGAAATATTGGTTTTTAAACTGCAGCTACCTTAAATAGCTTGTCTACACTCTGGGAGCATCTTCACTACAAGCCAACGTGGCGTTTTATATGCAGAACTACCACATAGCCTCGACTCAGCTTGAAGCGCATTCGACTGGCATTCTTAAGGTCAACACCTCATCTAACAGCTTATCAGCAAAAGCTACACAGCCTTGAGTTTCCCAGATAATCACACATGTTTACAAAGTCAACATTCCTTAAAAAGGTCAAAGAGAAATACTTTGGAATGTTTCAAACTAATCAGCTCCCTGGAAGCAGTGAAGAAATAGTACGGTGAAAGCAAACCCAATGAAGTCAAGATTAGAGGCATTATTATGTGGAAACCATTCTCTGACAGTTAAAGTGATCGACAATCAATTTCCACTCTGACCACATACAAGAACACGCTCTCAGTACGACACATTTAATGCACTGCATGTACTGTAGATCTAAGTCTCTAGTTTCTAGAAACATGAATACTACAGGAACGAATCACCACATGTATAATGTGTGTCTGAGCACACGAATGGTCACACACGAGGATGCTGGTGAGACACTGATGACTGTCTCTCCCTCACAGATCAAATACGCTGACGTGAGTGGACGGCTTCATCATCCGCCAAGTCAGAGACTGTGGAGCGATACCAAGATGACATTACACTGATGACATTACACTGATGTCATGTGCATGCAACAAGTGTGAAATCAAGCCAACAATTGGAAATGTCTCTTGCCTGTGATACGACTGCAGTCCCTCAGTTGGTAAACTCAATACAAAAAGGCTTGGTTTCATGAAAATATGCAACTCAATTAAACAAAGAAAGTTTCTAACTCATAAAAACTGGTTTTCAACACAACTGCTCAACTTGTTAGAGAAGTGGAGAATGTGAAGCTTTTCACCCGGGTGAGTGCTGGAGTCCAGACGATTACTTTCATTTGTTCTGACAGCCTCCCACCTATATATGACTCAGACGACACCACGCTGACTTCTGGTAGGTGCAATGTTATTGCCTGATAGCTGCAAAACGTACTCGGTGTAAGCCACGACCCGGTGCTGCCAACACGAATGATATCAACACCAGAGACCCAAAACAACACAACTGGACTCCAGACAGGGCTGAAGTTTTTATACATGGCTTCCAGCCCAAACTGCACTTATCAGGCTCCGCTGACCTTCTTTTTAGGGCCAAATACATGACCGTGTAAAAGGGGATCAATGTGGTTTATACACGATACAACACAAAGAGTGTGACATTTGAAAAGAGTGAAGTGGGGTTCAACTCTGTAGAGTTGACCTCAATTTGCAGATGTACACTTATGCTGGTGTGTTACACTGGACTTTAGACCTTAATCCTAATTACCAATCTCACTAAATATAAATCTGAAACAAACCAAATCATTTAACAAGGGTTTCCATCATTTAGACATGTACAGGGATAAATATCAGGTGTTTACTGCCCCCGATCTCACCAAGGATATCGCAAAACTAAAATATGAATGTGACACTCCATTTGATCTCCAAAGAAACTGTCATTTGACTTGTCTCTCTCCTCTCGTGGGTCGGAGCGCAGACCTAGCTACAGAGCAGCAGGCGAGCGGCGAGGGATTCAGGGATTCAAAGACAGTTCAGACAAGGAGAGGCTCACAGCTGGATTGAGAGGCAGTATTTCTGACTGTCTCACACAGAGAGAGGTCACGGCAGTCTGCAAGTGACATCTGTATGCTGAAGTCATCGTAGGGTTGAGTCAGGGAGATTTGTAAGAATACATCCAATTTAAAATCGTAAGTAATAAGATTGGCATGTGGTGTGAGGAAAACTGCTGTCCTATTGCTATTGGCCCTTCTCTGAGTGTGTGTGTGTGTGTGAGAGAGAGTCTGCTCCTTAACCTCTGGGTCACACCTGTTGCCTCGCTCAAGCCCTGGTCAGGGCAAGGGGGAGAGGTCAAGGGTCATGGTGTCACATGACACTTCGTTCACAGATCTGCTCCGGAGCCCACACATACACACGCACTGTGTCAACCAAGAGATGACCAATTATTTATGCCACTGAATTTTCTACAGCCTCTTGTCAGATTCATACTGGCTAATGAGCAGCGCCTTTAATCCCAGGTTACATCTCAGCCGGCCCGACTGTGCGATAATAACACACTGAGCATTAATACACTGCATTCAAATCCATTATGATATAGTGTTGAGATGAGAGGTGAAAACTCAAACTGACACACATTTTATGTTCTGAATGACCCTTTATTTCTGCAACACGTTTCTTTCTTTTTCTTTCTCTACCGATCACAATTAAAAACATTTGTAATTCAGGAAAGGTTTCAAGCCATCTGATGCAGGACGGTGCATAATTTCACATCTGTGAAGTGGACCGAAGTGTGCTCTCATACATAATTCAATAGTTTCATCCCAAAATATGATCGTGCCTCGGGGGAAATGAACAATGCTACTTAGAAATCTATGAGTTGAAATATAAAGAAAAATTAGAGAGAAAGCATCTGCTGTACACAAATGTCTTCAAGTGAATAATTACATTCAAATGAACCAATATCTGGCTTTGATTCAGCGCCAGTTACAACTCAAAGCTTCAAAAGGCACATTTGCTATGTAATGATGTTTGCAGCAGTCGCTCATTAAGCTAATTAGTGTATTGAAATGTTTCTTTGGTCAGTATTTTACAGAGGCAAACAAGCACTGCTGCTTTATCATTCAAAATCCAAAGCTTAGGATTAATTTTATCCATGACCGGCAGTTCCTTTCCACTTCCTAAACGCTTATCTACTGATAAATACTGATGAGTCTCAGGTGAACCTCTGAGGCACTGCTCTTTCTGGCAAACAGAAACAACTTTCATCCCATTTTCCGGTGCAGAGGGACACATTTTGAATGTCTCACTGCTCTGCCACTTCACGATGTGCCTCGAGGCCGGTGAGTCACGACTGATGTTGCTTTGCGGCACAAAAAGACCCGATTGTAATATAAAAAGGTCATTCATGTCACATTGGTGACGCGCCGCTGTAAGAGCACAGATCAATACCACAGCTGAACGTCCGTGTGATAGGCAAGCAGAGAGGTGAAAGGCAAATGTTGAGCAGCTGCCATTAAATAAGACATGTTCTGATCATTTAGGCGTACACAACTGCCAAAGACGCGGTCAAAACCTGTGGAACAGAAAGCCCCAGAACGCCACAAAACGCTATCTTCCTCCCGCTCCCCCACAAAGAATGTCAGGTATGTTCACAATTCAGAAATGTAGGAAATGATCCAACAAATATTTGTCCCACGTACTTTGGGGACCGGCATCCGCAGGGCACTTATCAGGAGGCCAATCTGAAATCTCGGCAAATCAGCCACTCCGTGAACCCTAAACAGGTGAAGAAGTAACAATGTGAGACGCCTTCGTTGACACGGTCAACTCACGAGTGGTTAATCTAAACAAGAGCGAGGAGCGAGTAAAAACAAGAACTGACAGTCCCGTCTGAACGCACAAAGAAAATCCTCCTTTATCAACAGCCCAGCGTCTGCGACGGGCGAGGTTCAGAGACGGCCTTTCACTGCAACTGGAGAATGTTTCACTTTCACAAACACAATCTCCACATAGACAGAAGGCTTCAACACTTACTGCAGAAGAATGAAATATATGGATAT